GGAACTAATATTTAGAAAAGGTTAAAATTGGCAGACGAAATAATATTTGAAAACCATAAATTCAGTATTTTAAATAAAAGGTGATATTTACCAAAAAAAAAAAAGTGATGCTCCGATCCGTAGTATTTTTGAGACAATTAAACAACAAAAGGGTGCACTACAAAAAAATTCGGCTGTAGTCACGGATTTAGTCACGGACATAGTCACGGTCAAATCCGTGACTATTTTTTTTTTAAATTCCGTGACTAGTCCGTGACTAGTCCGTGACAAACTAGTCACGGACCAAATCCGTGACTAAAATCCGTGACTACAAGGGAGTTTTTTTGTAGTGGTGGTAATATTTTGTATGACTGTATTTCTTCACTAAAAAAAATTGTATGACTGTATAGTTATGAATTGTATGGTTTGAGTTACTACTTACTAATATATGGCCTTTTGGCCTGGATATGACTAAAAATAGGATAAAAGACAAAAAAGTTAAACGTTTTTAAAAATTCCAAAATTGTGACCAACATGAAATTAGCCCCTCCAATCCAAAATGACTCCGGCCAAAGTGACTTCGGTCAAGTGTCTGTCCACTTGACCACAGTGACTGCCCCACCGCCATAGTGACTGCCCCGCCGACACAGTGACTTTCCCGCCGCCACAGTGACTGTCCCGCCGCCACAGTGACTGCCCCGCCGTCACAGTGACTCCACCGCTAGTCGCCACAGTGACTCCGGTCAAGTGACTAAGGCCACAGTGACTCCGGTCAAGTGATTCCGGCCACAGTGACTCCGACCATTTGACCACCCGACTACCACCACAGTGACACCGCCCAATTACCCCCGCCGGCCACCGCCTCCGGTAGCCACCAACTCCGGCCAACGACCGCAACCACCACATCCAATCCCTTGCCTCACCCAGCCCCCTACTCTGCATCACCCCCCTCCCCCTCCCCAGCCCCACCCAGCCCCCTGCCTCACCCAACCGCCTTTCCACAGCCCCTAGCCCTAGTGGATAGCCCTATAGACACTGCTCTATCAGGCCGGCCCACCTCCATAGCCGTCCACCGCCCAGATCTGAAAACCACAAGCGTCGGCCAAGCAGCGACAGCCAAGCAGCGGAGGAAGAGGCAATCCGGCTGTTCTAGCCCCTTTATGACTTCGAGGACTGTGGATCCGACAGATCCGAGCCGTCTTCATCGACGTCGGACGATCTGGAACCAGCAGCGAGAAGAAAGAAGAAAAGAGATCTGGAGAGGGAAGAAGACCTGAGTTGCCTAGATTCGCCTTCTTCATCGCGCATGAAATTAAAACGACGGAACGGAGCGGCGGAGGAGGGGAGCGGCAGAGGAGACGATCACGTTGCCATGTGATTTGAAATCATTGGTCTATCCTTGAGCCCTGGTGTTGATGAGAGGAAGAAGAAGGGCTCTGGAGATGGAGGTATCGTGCGGCGTGCGGGTGAGGAAAGGGAAATCAAGGGACGATTACTTTTTTGGGGGAAAATGAGATTTGTTATATTTTGGGAAATGGAAACTTGGGGTGTATTATCCGTGCCATTTTTTCCTAATATATACTCGTAAATAAATAGGGCTTAGCGCATAAACATCATTTTGCCCTAGATTTTGGTCATGGATCCACCCATGACAGTTTTGTCACGAATTTGTTAAAGATATCACAGTTTACTCGATCAAATAGGTTTTGTCACGGACCGTCCCTCGACTAATTTTTTTTTTTTAGAAAAATAAATTTTATTGATAAACGGAAAATAGTACAATGCGAAAAAGGAAAGAGGAAATGCATTACAAAAAAACGAAAAAGTGAGAAAACTAGATACAAAGCTAGTCCCATGGGAATTCTCTGGATTGAGATCTTGTGGTCATGCTATGACACCTTTTGTTCTTTTGATTTTTTCTGTAAATTTTTAGTTGCATGTTCAGGTTATCAGTTGGCAGATAGTTATATGAGTATATGAAATTAGCCTTGCGGCAGACTTCCCTATTGAATTTGGACTTCCTAATTTCCCTATTGAATTTGGACCGTCCCTCCACTACTTCAATTACTTGTCATGTATTGTAGTATCTTTGGCAAATTTTTCATAAATCTTTTTACCATAAGTCATTTATCACGAGAAGTATATCCATGACAACCCATTGTATGGAGTATGTTCAATTCTTTGTCATGGATGATGTCCTGGCACATTCAGAAATTTTACCTTTATAATTTTAAAAAGGATATATATTGTGTCACATCTAGAACGTTGTGAATTCTGTGACAATAGAGTATTAGTTAGAACAATCAAATGTGCAAAATAAGACTATTTCATAGGCTTTTGATTAAAATAAGACCCCATTAGCAATTTTAATTCCGTAGACCTCTACTTGTCCTATTTCAGGAAACTCAACCCTAAGGTATTACCTAAATTACCCGTAACTGCTTATTAATATATTTGAGAGTTTGTTCGGTGCTTTGTACGCTCAATATTCTTCAACTATAGCTCTCCACTCCGCATCAATAACTCGAACTCAGTCTGCAACAATTCCGTCAACCAACATTCGTCAATGGAAGGTGAAATCGCTTCAAAGTTCCGACTTTCGACTCATAATCTTCATCGCAATTTGTGGATTTTTCCTTATGTGATTTGGTGTTGTAAGTTTGTAAGACTATTGTTGTATTTTTCATTTTTGTGATTACAGTTTCGAATCCATTGTCTTCTCCTTTTACTTGTCTATGAAGTCCATGGTTGTCGCATTCTTCACTCTATGAAATTTTATATTCCCAATTTGTAACCAAAATACATTTGTATAGTTTGTATAATTTTTGCTTAGTGGACTTCAAAAATTCTTCTGCAGTAATAGCCTTTGTACCTAGTAGTCATCTCAATTTGGGGATTTCGTGTTCTGCATTTTGTTGTTATAGCTCTCTCTGCATTTTTGGGATTACAGTCTTAACATTTAATGTCTACTTAATGTCTTTTAATGTCTTTTTAACGTCCTATTACTTTTCAGGTTTAATTTTGTGCATACATGATCACTCAAAGTGAGACAAGATCCCCGCTGTCAAGCCACTGCAGATATATTTGTTAAACTCATGAAACATCGGTATGTAGATGCATCTATGAAATTGTATGCATCTAATGATATTATTGTTGATTTAAATAGCGATTATGAGTTATTTTGTCATTCAAGAATGCTTGGATTGCAAATAAGAAACCCAAGAAAGAGAAAACAGGCAAATAAGCCCTCGAACTATTTGCGTTTTTGCAATCAGACCCCTGAATTGGAAGAATTACAAATACACCCCTCAATTGATTGAAAATCAAGCAAGCAGGTACATGCTGGTGCAGGTAAGGAGATGAGAAACTACCGACACTAGCGGGTAAAAAAGACCTCATTGCTTGATTTTCAATGAGTTGAGGTGTGTATTTGTACTTCTTCCAGTTCAGGGGCCTGAATGCCAAAACGCAAATAGTTCGAGGGCTTATTTGTCTGTTTTCTCCCCAAGAAAAATTGATTGGTTCATATGAGCAGTCCTTAGACATTTGTGCCGATAATTGTTTTAAGTACTTCTTCATGTCATTGGATGCATGGATTCAAGGCTGAAAACGTTGTATTCCTGTTCTTATCATTAATGTGTCATTTGTAAAAGCATATTACAAGAGTACTCTACTAACAACATGTGCTCAAGATGTTAACAAACAGGTTTTTCCTTTGGCTTTTGGGGTGTGTGATATTGAGCAAAAGAAATCATGGACTTAGTTTTTTAAGAAACTGAAAGCGTGCCTTGCGTATAAGCATGACTTATGTATTGTTTCATATCATCACTAGGGTATTATACATTTATACATGAAGCAAAAGAGGTGTTTCAACATGCTGAACATGACTACTGTGTGTACCACCCGCTAGGAAATATTAGGACGAAATTCAAGGAATCTACTATAGGTCTTCTTGCGTGGAAGTTTAATTAGCCAGGCTACTAGGGCCGCTACCCCTCAATTTGAAGAGTACTTGGCGCCATTAAATGTAGAAAATCTTGTATTCGAGATTATTTGTATTAGATAGGTGTTGAGAAATGGTCTCATTGTTTTTGTAATCGAGATTACTTGACATTTATCAATGCCAAGTAAGTGATTTGTAAGATTCTTATTAATTTTATATCCTACACTAACATTTGTAAGACTTTTATTACTTTTTTCCCCACTATTATTGTCTGTCATGGTTTGTTGGCATTGTACATTATGTTAATTGTTATGGTATTTTGGCATTTGATTTGATGTACTTTTGTTATTCATACTCAAATTTCTTGGCTGTTAGATGTGTAGGCAATTAGCTGACAATGTTAAAATTAATGTCTTATTACGGAATGATTAATGCCCATAAGATGACCTTAATTTTAATTTCTTTTACTGTAGCCTTCAAATCCAGAATGCCCTTTAAGAGTTCTCAAATTTAACCTGACATCTCATTCTTTGTTTCACAAGTTATATGAATCAACTATCATATTCATTATTTTTTGAAAAATTATTATTTTTATTTAATGAGTTAGAAGTTCTGCTTGTGCATATATGCACGAGTTGAGATTATATTCATAATAATTTATTCTTTCAAACAATACACACTTAATATATAATAATGATTCACATTCTCGGAAATTGCTTTTGAATGAACACCCTCAAATTAACTGTTAACTCACACCCAAAAATTGCCTATACATTAAAAATGTTATTCAAACATCTACTTTTGTCTTAGCTTCAAAATAGATGTATATAAGTTTGGGTTCATACTCATGTGATGTGTATAGTACATAACTACATATGCATGAGAAATACATCTAAATCCCATTTGATCATTTCATTAGTTGAATCTATTAAGTTTCATAGTTGCTTTATAGTTTTGTAGTAAAGTTTGTACTTATTTTAGCTGGATGCATTTAATATCTACGGTTATGCCTTTAAGGACTAGTTATTGTCCACTTATGGACTTTATTGCATACTTCAACCAGATATCACAAGTCAACTTATAACTCAAAAAAGTGAATAATAATTTCATATGACACCAAAAAGGAGATAGATTACATAGCCATATTTTGAAACCAATTGCCATCAATATTTAAGAACAAGACTTATTGATTATAAGAAGGAAGTTTTACAAGCTTTTTCCTTTCTAAAAAACTATACAAAACATCTTGGTCCAACTACTGTCTTCGTGATGCATACAACCATATATCAATAGCTCTGTCGGCATTTTCGGTCGGTACTTATCCATGTTTTGCTTCAAAACTTCACTCAGATCTTTATCCATCATTAGAAATGCAGCAAGTTCTATGACAAACATACCACAATTGTTCCCTATAAACCACAAATGTTTGAATATAAATTTAAACATGCATATATAATGTATTGAGTGATATGTAAAGAATATCGAATTATAGTCCGACATACCCATCATCTTGTTGTGGCCATTCATGAACCGGGCCACACCATCAAGAATTTTGTGTTTTCCAATATCTGCTTGCGGCTGCTTGTCATAATCGCCCAACCTCTCCAACATTTTTGGTAAAAGCGTCTCTAAGCAAGGCGTGAAGGACCTAATGCTTGAAATTGAACCTCCTCTTCTCTTTAGGGAATCAAACACTCTGATACCTTTACAATTATTGTCTAGAAGCAAGAGTATCAAACATATTTTTATGTTCAATGTCATTTAAACATAACCAGCCTATGCCCATGGCATTTCTTTTCTTTATTTCCATTTCTATTTTCCTTTTCCTGATTACTGTTTTGGGGTTAGGAGAATCAAACAAGTTTTATGAGTCATTTTTTAGCCTTTTAATGCCTCGTTTTATTGTTGCAATGTGAAATTTGTGTCCGTCTTCTACATTTATAACCTCCTAGGTTATTTATTCCCCATCAATCCACCAAATGTGGTTTTCCGAATTGCTCAAATTGTTCCTCATTTAATAGCTACTTTATTCTTTCAATGGCAGTTCAGTTTTAGCTTTTTCTTGGTCATAAGAAGAAGAAGAAGAAGAAGAACAATGATTGTAGGGATCATATAAGTTATTTTTTATCCATAAACTCTTCTTTAGTTATAGTATAAGAAAACCCCAATTATCATGTACTGTAGAATCCTTTCAATATCATATCAGAAAAAAAAAAAAAGAATATTAAGAAAGGAGCCTTTTTTATTGTAACCTTCAGCATGTTGAATGGAATTCATGTCTCCTAAGTCTTCAAGAAGGAAAAAATGATCAATAGCTATCCAATTACAACAATGAGGTAGAGGACATGAAGCTAAACTTTGATCAGAAACCTTATTCGTCTTCAGAATCCAAAATCGATTTCCAGGGAAGTCATCCCTCCCCATCCAGATCCAGCTTCATCCAACTGCCCCGTCTGCGCCATTAGATTTTCGGCTAGGCTTCTCCCGAAGCAAGTGAGCAAGTATAGCTTGTTGAATGAGACTTCTGGAATTTTTCCTCGAAGGCCTTGTTTATGACCAAGTTCAACACCATGGCGTGTACGAGAATGCGGTCCGAGCCAATCTCACCGGCGTTGAAGGCTACTCCCAGGAAGAAATCATCGCCTGGTTTCTTGTAAAAGGAATCATCGTCCACTATTAGGAGGTGGATTTTGTTGTTGTTGTTGAAGAAGACCTCTTATTTAAAATAAGGGCATTCCTATCAATTACTTTCATGTTTGGTCATACGGTAGTTTGTAGTCCTAATTTAGGAAAGTTGTTACTTGTTAGCTTTGTGTCTTATTTGGGTAATTTTCCCAGCTAGTTGAAAATATGCCCTCTAGATATCCATAACAAAAGCGTGACAAATTATTCTTATTTACGTTGCAAGTGGGGGTTGTTTCATACCATTCATATAATATATAGTGAGTATTATAGAGTATTTCAAATTAATAAAGCTTTACTTATTTTGATTACTTGTTAATTTAGTCAGATTTTACAAAATATGTGTACGTAACTTTCTAAAGGTTTGTATGTGAGCAACTAGCATTTATTCTTCTTTTTCAAGCAATATAATCAGGGAAATTGTCCAAAATAGGAGTAAATGAGGTTTAGAATTCCAAAATAGGACTACTATGTTTTTTTCATGAAATACGAGTTGTTACAGCCATGTAAGAAAAACATTGTTATGATTGAAAAATACTGACATTAATTATAATAAATAATGCCATGTTAAATGCACTGTACTGCAACTATTTGGCAGTCACACCTACAAGATGACAGTAAATACTACCAAGTTAATCCTATTTTGGGAGTAAAAGCATAGTAGCCCTATTTTGGAATTCTGATCCTAACTCTATTCACTCCGTTTTTTAACTCCAGGGGGCGTCTGGGGTAGTGGTGCCTGGAGTAATTGGGGCTAAAACTCACTCCATTGAGTTTTTAACTCGAGACCTTCCGTAAGGGAGAGTGAGTTGGCGACGACCAGCTGGATTGGACCACTTTCTCAACTCCATTTACTCCTATTTTGGGAAATCTCCCATATAATTAACTATTATTAATCAAATCTAAGTTCAAAGCATTCACCATATAACTAGGAGGAAAGAACAACCAAGAGTGGCAACCAGACATGGAAACAGCGGCTTGAGCTAACTCATAAGTCACACGATTCACGGATCGCCTAATAAAATCTATAGATTTGATGATAAACTGATTCATCAATTGCTGAATATCGCCCACTATCAAACCAAGTTGGGACCGCACCCCTCCTTCATGTATTGCCGAAACAACGAGCACGGCATCAGACTCCACATCAACATTATATAACTGCACCTCTCTTTCCACCCTCCCCGGTTGTTATGTCAACATTTATTTTTAGAGGCCCGCCCGCCAGTTTCTGCCATGTCGTAGCCTTCTTCCTACTCACTCCCTACTGCGAAGTAAACTACTAATGTACTACACGCCAACCTAGCAAAACAACCCTAGCTAGATTAATAATCTCCTCCAAATCACCTACCTTGTCATGCCAAATTTGCACATTACTAAACTGCCACAAGATCCAACAGAACATAATGAAATCACAACGCTTACTATCATTCCTATAGGAGAAAAAAACTTTCACTCCTTCTAAGAAAGGTAGTCCCT